TGGAATCATGATCTGAGCTGAAATCAGATGCTCAACTACTGAGCCACCCAGGCACCTCCACAACAAGAATTTTGGCATGAGCTTTGGAGGGTGGAAGACAGAGCAGTGACTGTGTTGGCACACTTGCAAAGTCTAGGCAGAAGTTTTGTAGCTCATACATTTTGTTGCCTGTTAGCTCACGTCATTGACATGGGATAGCAGTCAGGCTCGCAACTACTCCACCTCTCCCTGGATCCTCCTTTAGTTTCTTTGACTCCTGGGCCAGATAACAGAGGGCACCAGCCTCTCCTGCAGGACACCTATAACATCAAGTTTGGAGGTAGTGGGAACTGATACGAGCTCGAGTTTGCAATCAAAGCTTCCAGCTTATGCTCATGGATTCCGGCTTGTCCTTTCTCTCCCCCACTTTATATCCACTCTCCCTTCCCAGTGGCGTGACCTGTGGACTTTAAGCTCCAGCATCAGATGCAAAACCACAATCTTACAGAAACTGTTTAACAGCTACCCAAAGTCAACTATGTTTTTTGTTTCTATGTTTTTATTATTTAACCCTCACTGATACAATAGCATAGACAGATGTTTAATTTTATACGACACTCCCAAACTATTTTCTGAAATGGTTGTACTCATATACCATCAGCAGAGTACTAAGAGAGTTCTAGTTGCCTTACCTCCTCATTAATACAAAAATTATCAGTTGGTTTTGTAAAAACATGACACTGTGCAAACCAACGCATGGCAACAGGCCACCAATCTTCAGCCTCTGCTCTGAACCATGCCCTTATGGAGGACAATTTCACTATATTCATCAAGATTACAAATGCACAACAATGCTCAGCACCCCTCCTCATCAGGGAAATACAAATCAAAACCACACTGAGATACCACCTCACACCAGTCAGAGTGGCTAAAATGAGCAAATCAGAGAACTCTAGGTGCTGGCGAGGACGTGGAGAAACGGGCACCCTCCTACACTGTTGGTGGGAATGTAAACTAGTACAGCCCCTCTGGAAAACAGTGTGGAGGTTCCTCAGGAAACTAACAATAGAACTCCCCTATGACCCAGCAATAGCACTGCTAGGAATTTACCCAAGGGATACAGAAATGCTGAGGCATAGGAGCACATGTACCCCAATGTTCATAGCAGCACTCTCCACAATAGCTAAAACATGGAAAGAGCCTAAGTGTCCATCAGCGGACGAATGGATCAAGAAGATGTGGTTTATCTATACCATGGAATACTACATGGCAATGAGAAACAATGAAATCTGGCCATGTGTAGCAACATGGATGGACCTTGAGGGGGTTATGCTGAGCGAAATAAGCCAGGCAGAGAAGGACAAATATATGTTTGCACGTATAGGAGGATCAGGAGGAACTTAACTGAGGAACAAGGGGGAGAAGAAGGGCGGAAATAGTGGGGGAAAGGGAGAGAGGCAAACCATGAGAGACTCTTGAATGCTGACAAAAACTGAGGACTGATGGATGTGGGGGGGCGGGGGGATGGGCATGGAGGAGGGCACTCGTGGGGATGAGCACTGAGTGTTATGTGGAAACTAATTTGACAATAAACTATTTGTAAAAAAATAATAATAATAATAACACACAAACCTCCCCCCCCAAAAAATATTACAAATGCACATACTCTTTGTCCTAACATAGAATTAATCATGGAGATATACTTGCATGAAATCCTAAACTGAATGCAGGAGGTTATTCATTAATCCATTATTGTTATTAATAACAACTTAAATGTCCATGAACAGAGGGCTGATTAATTAAATTTTGTACACACAATAGAGTATTATACAGCTTCTAAAACAGGAAGTTTTCAATGTGTTGATATGGGAAAATATTGTATTAGTTGAAGTTCACCAGAGAAACAGAATTAATGGGAGATGATACAGAGACAGGGCTTTAGCTGATATAGGTGATACAGATAGACTTATTATAAGTAGTTAGCTCTTGTGATGAGAAAGCTAATTGGCAAGTCTGCATACAGAATGAGTCAGCAAGCTGGAACCTAGGAGAGTCAATCCAAAGGCTGGCAGGCACATGACAAAGGAAGAATTGATATTTCAGTTAGAGTCCAAAGGCAGGAAAAAAAAATCCCAGCTCAAAGGCCAACAGAAAGAAGAAAGTTTCTCTTACTCAGGGAAGAGACGTCCTTTTCATTCTGTTCAGGCCTCCAACTAATTGGATAAGGCCCATGCACATTAGGGAGAGCAATCTGCTTTATTCAGTCTACCTTTTTTTTTTTTTTAGTTTTTTTGAGAGAAGGTGGAGGGAAGAAGAGGGAGAGAGAGTCTTAAGCAGGCTCCATGCGCAGTGTAGAGCCCAACACAGGGCTCAGTCTCACACTCGTGAGATCATGACTTGAGTCTATGTCTGACGCTTAACCAACTGAGCCATCCAGGTGCCCCTATCTTTAAATGTAAATGCTAATCTCATCTGAAAACACCTTCACAGAAACACCGAGAATGTTTGACCAAATACCTGGGCACCCTGTGGCCCAGTAAAGTTGGCATATAACATTCACCATCACATACTGATAAGAGATCGATGGAGTGGAAAATCAAGATACAGGACGGAATGTGTAGTAAGCTTCCCCTTTATGGTAAAAAAAGAAAGGCAGGTGCAGAATAGCAATAAAGGTGAATATTTGCTTGCATTCACAAAAAGACATTCTGGAAGAATGCACAGAAACTAAAAATAAAGGATAACCCTATTGCAGGTGTGTTTATCTATTCAAAACATTAAGTAACAACAAAATTTAGGTACCTGTTTGAATGCGTTCTCTTCTAGGATTGTGAATACTTGGGGAGACAAGCCATGTTTTATATTTGTGTTCCTAGCACTTAGTACATAGTAGGCACTAAATGAACATTTGAGGAATTAATAAATGAATGAACCAGAAGAAATCAGATTTCGTGTGGGTCAGAAAGGGAAGAAGCGTGTGAGGATCAGAGGAGGAAATTATGGCAATGGCTGTCAGAGGGGAAGTTTGGGGAATAAGAGATGTTGAAAGAAGAGTTATAGAATTATGTGGTATAATCCACTTTCATACTTATTCCCAAGAAACATTCAATAAAATTCTTCATTGGGGGATTTAATTTGTTAGGTTTTGAATATGATTTTAGATTCAGGCACATTTCGGTATTAGGAATAGACAAGGCTGGGGCAAGGAACTCAAAAGAAGAGGAACCTCCAGGACTTGGCCCAGCCTCTGCCATGAAGGAAGCCAGCGGACTCCTGAGAGGGTGATCCCTGCCACCAAACCTGTACTCTGGGCCCACTGTCCTCCTGTCAGGCAGAGCCATGCCCTACCCAACCTCCTGGTCCCCAAGCCCCTCTACAAACCATTCCTACCAGCTCCACACACAGGAGCTCCAGGGTGGTCCATGATGACAGATTCAGAGACCAGAACTCTGGAGAATCAACGCAGACTACAGCAAGATAACAGTGCTAGAGCTGGGGTCAATATGTGTGATGGCTGGTGGTTAATTTGGGGAAAGTAGAAGATCAGGCTGAAGCCAGTGGAAACCTAACACCAGGCTGAGTGCAGGGAAGAGGCAGGGAAGAGGCTCAGCCCAAGGTCAGGAGTAGTCGTCAATTTGTATTTTTATTTATTATTTTAGGAGCTCAGGTGAACAGAATTGTGCTACCCATACTCCTTAGTTCATAACGCTCTCTCTCCCTGCTTGTCCATAAAATGCCCACTATGAACACCTGTAAACCCACCACCTGCCCAAGGACTAAAAGATTAAACATAACTTGCTAATATGCTTCTTGTATCTCTTCCCTCTGCTTCCTCTCAGAGGTAACCACTCTCCTAGATTTTATCCTTTCCTTGCGTTTTCCACCTTGTGGTAGACAGCTTTTATAACGGCTCCCAATGATCCCTGTCTCCTGGTATTCACACCCATGCACACCTCTCCCCTTGAATGTGGGCTGGGCCTCATGACTTAACTTCTAATAAATAAGATACAACCAATGTGATGGATGTCACTTCTGTGATTATATTACATAAGATTGTAATTGCCATCTTGCTAGAAGACTCTGTTAACTCTCTCCCTTGCTGGCTTTGATGAAGTGAGCTAGCACACTGGAAGTGACCAAATGGCAAGGAAATGAGGGCACCAGCCAACAACCAGCAAGAAACTGAAACCCTCAGTCCCACAGCCCACAAGGAACTGAACTCTGTCAACAACTTGGAAGTGAATCCTTCCCCAGTTAAGACCTCAGATGAGACCACAGCCCTAGCCAACACCTTGAATGCAGCCTTATGAGAAACTCTGAAGCAGAGGACCCATCTAGGCCATGCCTGGCCTCCTGACACACAGAAAATGTGGGATAATAAATTTGTGCTGTTTTAAGGTTGTGGTGACTTCTTACACGTGATAGAAACTAATACAAGTTATCTTCAGTTCTTTTCTATTACAAAGAATGTCACTGCACAGTGTCACAGAATGCAGAACACAAGAGCTTAAGTTTCCCCTGGTATATGCTGAAATATATCTAGGAATAGAATTGGGGGTCTCAGAATGTAATACTAGTAGTCAGTAAATTATCAGAGTTAGGGTCACATCATGGTCATAGTGTCTTGATCAGGATTGGGAATCAATCAAGCTTGGCCTCAGTCCATAGAACTAGGGGTCAGTCCGTGGGCACGGTTGAGGGTGAGTGTGTGGCTACATTTGGGGAGAATCAGAAGCCTGGGTTTGGAGTTGGGTTTGGACAGGGCTGGAGGTTTCTGTGAGGGTGAGAGCGGGGGTCAATCTAGGGCCAGTGTTCGAAGTCAGGCTGTTCTAGTGCACAAGACCTGACTCTTGTGATATCGTCCACCTATCAGGCAGCGGCCACCCAGGGCCCAGCTGCCCAAAGGTGAGACCCACTCTGGGCCTACAGGCCCTTTCACTCAAAGTGGGGGGCGGGGGTGAGGGGGCAGTGCGGCATAAGAAGGGCAAGAAAACTAGACAGAGAAGGCAGTCGCAAGGCAGTCGCAGGAAAGAGCGTTTCTTTAATGGGGGTAGTGCGGTCCCGTGTCTACAAAGCATTCTCAAAGGTGCCCCCATAGGAAGGGAGGGTGGTTGGAACAGGCACAGCTCATGTCTTCCCCACTCTAGGCTGAAGCCACTCCTCACCCCTTCCTCTCCAGCTGTTGTGCTCTCCAGCCTCTAGCGGGGTCCCAGGTGAGCGTGCAGGAGAGGGAAGAGTCTCCCTCAGCTGCCTCGGGCAGCTTTCCCCGAGGCCCAGATGGCAGAGAACTAGCCTGGAGGGAGACGCCGCTGTCCTCAGAGCTGGGCGGGGACCTGTTTCTAGGGGTGTGCACCGAGTCGGGGCACCGCCCTCTAAAGCCCAGAGCAGGGAGCATCGAGGTGGGGCTCCTGGTGTCGGGCACGGCTTTGGGGAGCATGCCAGGTCTCTGCATGTGGCTTCTGGGTTCTGGAAAGCGGTCCATTCTGCTGACCCGGATGGAGTGGAAGGAGTTGGCTCAGGGGAACTCCTTCTGAGGGCTCCTGCCTCACTGCCTCCCAACACTCACCCCCATCCCAAGGGATGCGCGCGCTGGCGCCCCAGGAGGCTCATTGGAGCTGCCGGCTCCGCCCGCCCGTTGGTCCGTCAGTCCGTCGATGGGTGCGTGGGTGGGTGCGTCGGTCTCGGCGACCCTGCTCTGGCGGGTACTCGGGCGTCCCTGCGCGGCCCGGGCCGCCGCTCACCGCTGCTTACGCTCTGCCTGCTGGAGCCGCCGGGAGAGGTCGTCGATGCGCACGTTCTTGAGCTGGAGCAAGTGCTCCAAGCGCCTCACCTTCATCTGCAGGACCTGGGCCGCGCCGCACAAAGGTCAAGCCAGGCGCTCGCTGCCTTCTGTCCCCACCACTGCAGGCCCTAAGCACTCACCACCCCACCACCGCCCGCGCCTTCCCAGCGCACCCTCACCTGCACAGTCTCCTGCGAGGCCAACAGCTCCTGTTCCTTTTCAGCGATCTGGAGGACGAAGCTTGGGTCGCCCTGCAGTGCCTGACTATATCCCGGAGGTCTGGGCGCGGGCGGCCGGCCCCCCCTGGGGTGGGAAGCAGTTTAGCGGAGGCCCGGACCTCGGGCCCTACTCTCACCCTTCCACTGCCCCTCGGCCAGGTCTTCCCGCCCCGTCTCCCCCATTCCTGCCTTCCGAGGAACAGCCCGCCCCCACCCTTACCTGCCAGCCCTGTGCAGGGAGATCATCAGGCCTGGAGAGGTAGGCACTCCCAGCCTCCTTACCTGAGCTGCCCTCCTCCCTGGGGGTCCGGGGCACCTTCCCCTCGGGCCTTCTGGGACAAACCTGAGACGAGGCAAGTGGAGGAGCTAACCGTGCTGGAGTCGTATCTTCCGGACTCCTCCCTTGCTTCCCGCAACCCCGCCCCTCTCCCCCCATAGGAAGGAAGGACGGGAGGAAAGCTGCTCCTGGGGGAGACGGAAAGGAAAGGCCACTTTACCCACATCCATGTAGCCAGTGCCATCCTGGGGAGCCAGCTCCTGAAAGAACCCCTGGGGTTTACTGTGCGGTAGGACCCGCTCATCCTCAGTGAGCCCCATGGCTCTTCCGTGGTTCCCAAGACCAAGCTCCCTTTGCCAGACACCCTTCTCCCACACTTATTCCCAAGGCGGGGCTTCCCGCTGTCTGGGAAAACAGTGGGAGAAGCTTGAGTGGGGAGGCACCTGTAAAGAGCCCGCGCCCTGCTTCCTGCGCCTCTGGCGCTCCTCCAGACGCTGCCTCAGCGGAATGAGCACTAACTCCACCACGCCTGGCGCGCACTGCGCGATCTTGCGCATCACGTCCTCCGGTACCGAGAAGTTTAGCTTGTTCAGCACCTTCCTGGGAACAGACACAGGAATGGAGGACTGGGTCTTCGCGGAAGGAAGTGAGGGGCGTGGGGGAGAAGAAAGGGGTGCAGCCCTGGGGGAATGAGTCCGAATCTTGGTTGTCCCGTTCCTTTGTCTCCTCAATTAAAAAAAAAAAAAATCCCTTGATTTTGTTACCAGTTCTGCCTGCGCTGTCCCTCCCTACCCTGCCACCCAACAGAGTCCCAGCCTGGGCTTTGGAGATCATGGGGGGTGGGGGTAGCCCTCCTGGATCCTGTGTGGGGGGGTGTGTGTGTGGAGATTCCGCTAGTGCACCCAAGAATTCTGCTACCTGTTTAGGTGACCCCAGTTGCTAAGCTTCTGTTGGAGAGAGTTGGCGGGGACATAATTGTGCATCTCCACCATCTTGGGGAAGTAAAACTTGATGACTTCTGCGACCAAGACTGAGGGAATGGAAGCAGACATGGAAGGGGGGGTGGAGTAGGTAAGGGAGAAGGAGTAGGGAGAAGATGTGCATGGGATAGGAGAATGGGGGGTTACAGAGTGGTGTGGCCAAGTGGATGGGTGGAGGTGTGGAAAGGGAATGGATGATAGGGAGGGAGGGGTAGTGGAGGAGAGGGAAGAGGTTCATTAAAGCGAGATTAGAAATCAGTGAATAGCCTCCAGCATACCCCAGAGAGGCAGCAGCCCATCCATCCCCATTAACTCAGGCATATGAAAACTGAGGTCTCTGGTCTTCTAAAGAATGAGTCTCCAAGAGAGCCCATCAGGGGGCCTGGGGCCCCACACTAGGCATTCACATGGATACACACACACACACACACACACACACTCCAACAGCAAAGTCCCAGGAAAGAGTTACAGACTCACACAAGAAGACACATGTAATGAGATCCCCTTGCAGATATGGTCATAGGACAAAGTGTGTAGAAACATAGGCACACATACACACACCGCACAGAGATGCACAAACACATACACATATTTCCATCACTGAAGTTCCAAGAGACGGTCAGCAACACATACATACAAGCACAATAAGTCACATAGGCACCAATATACACATACAGAGATACATACTTCTTTCATTAAAATCTCAGGAGACAGTCTTAGACACACAAACACCTAACAATCACAAACGCATATGTACACAAGACCCCCTACATGCATACAGGACAGAATGTATCAACAAACATACGAACATACACAAGCTCAGACTCCCACAAGACAGATATGCAGAATATAGTAATGAACAAGTACACACAGAGAGATGCACAAAAACATACACAGACACACGTCTTAGTCATTAAAGTCCCAGGAGGGAGTTTACACAGACTCACACTCAGACATACACCACAACCACACACGCATAAAGGATAGAACAAAGGGATATATGTATAGACCCACACACAGCCATAGCCCCACAGATACAGATACACACACACACACACACACACACACACACGTCCATAATTGAAGTTCCAGGAGATAGACACCTCCCAACATACACATACCCACACGCACAGAAGCACAAAGAAACACATGCATACAGACTCCTTACACACATACATACATGACAGAAAGTGTAGACAAACACGGACACACGGGATGCACGCAGGGGTGCACACACACTGAGGCGCACACCTCCATCACTGAAGTCTCTGGAGAGATTTCGCTTGGGCCGGGACAAGGGAATGTTGTCTACCCACAGGTACAGCTGGTGCAACGCCTCCTCGTCCACGCTGCCTGCCATTGGCACCCCCAGCAAGGCCAGCCCGTTCCAGCCGTGTAGCGTCAGCGCCAAACCACACGATCTCTCAGGCGCCTCTTCTTTCGCCACCGAGGGCGCCCAGGCCGGCCTCTGCCTCTCTAACCGGGAAACTCGCCTCCCAGCTGGGAGCAGCCATATTGTTTTCTGAAACCATGGCAACTGTCCTTGACTCTGAGGAGAACAGGGGCTTCTGGGAGTTGTAGTTTTCTCCCTCTACCTACTCTCCGGCCCCAGCTTTGAACAGGCGATTAGGTGGCCTTGTCTTCCCAGCCATCTGCTCCCACTCCACCTGATCAGCCACTGGCCCACCCTGGGGCCTGCCAAGCCAACTGAGCCCTCAGAATCCCTGCACCAGCATCCTCAAAGCGGAGATTCCCCTTCTGGAGCCTTCAGCTATCTGTACTAAGTGAAGTCAGCATCCCAATGTTCGTCAGGTTTACCTGGGTGTACACTGTAATTAATCATCTGCTGCTTCCCATTTGGATTGTGTGATAGGCTGTTTGACAGTGTCTCCTTGCTGGGTGTCCCCTCAAAGCTCTGTGCTACTAGGGCCATCACCACTACTGCCCTTCCCAGCAGTGTCCTGGTAGGGCATTTAATATGTCACCCAGACTCCCAGGGAGAATTTGGGCAGGTTACTGAACTCCTTAACCTTATTTTCCCTTTGTGAAGTGGGAATGGCTCTCACCTATTTGTCCCAGTGGGGTAAGAGGGAGGAAATTGGGAAGGGTACTTACAGATTTGCATTTGTATGGGGCCTGAGGGTATGGGAATTGACTGCCTGTATAAAAGCTGCAAGAGCTCCGGTAAACACTTCCACAATCCCTCATCTACCTCCAAAGAGCTATTCTTCCATGGGTTAGAAATGGATTTCAGTAGCCAGTCCCATTTCAAAGGAGCACTATTTGTAGAAGGGTTAGGGATGTGGGTTCTTCCTTAATGAAGGGACACAAATTACCAGTAAAGGGGTGATCTAGGGTCAGCCAGGGAAGAAAGCTGGCTTCCAAGACGCAATGTGGCTTTGGGGACATTACTAGACCTCTCTGTGTCTGTTTTCTCAGGGTTTTACCTACCTCGTAGGGGTTTTGTGAGCATCTAAAGTGCTTAGCAGAGGGCCTGGCACCTAACAAGGGCCCTATTAACATCAGTTGGTCCCATCACTAATATGACCTCAGTTCCAGCAGAGGAGAAGACACATGGAAATGATTTGCCTTGTTGGTATTTGAGATGAGGGAGTGGGTTGACCAGGGGCACCTGGGGAGAAAGCTACCGCTCCCATCTTACTCCAGAGCAGGTCAGGGGATAGGCTGGGCTTCCTTACGAGTTTCCGGTTTCCTCCTCCATAGCTCAGATGGTGGTAAGGGGAATCCCAACTACTTTTTGCCATCACTTAGTTTCACTGCCTTCAAAGCCTACAAGGGGAAACCCTGAGTGCCAGGAATGTAGCAGGCCAAGTGTGGAATTGTGAGTCTACCTTCTTGTTTTAAAGCCATACATATTGGCCTTTCTAGAAGGGACCACACCCAGGGCAGGCAAGGGACAAAAGATGGCCTAGATATCCCCCCACCCCCAACATTCCAGGGTGGAGAGAGGAAGAACTGAAAGGAAGTGGTGGGGAGGGAACTGCAGCAGTGATGTGCCAGCCCTAGTGAAGGTGGGAAAACCGGTTTGGGGCCCAGGCCCTCCCATAGCTGGAACCATGGGGGCCTGAGGGCCTCAATGAGGGAGGGGCTGGGCCCTGAAAGGAGAAAAGGGGTAAGAGATCAGCAGAGGCACCAATCTTCACCTGTGGACTGGGGTGCCCTCTGGAGGGCACCACACAGCGAGTTGCCCATTCTTCCTCAGCCTCTTGGGGGTGCAATCTATCCCAGGAATATTACCTTTCTCCTGCCACTGTCTGCGGGATAACCAGTCACCTGGCTTGGATGTGCCAATCACTGAAATGCCTAAGGGCTCCCCCTTAAAGCATCAGAAGGAAACCAAGGGAGGCCCTGTATGTCCCTCTGAACTCCAACCCGGACCACAGGAGTTGCCCCAACACTCCTTTTGCCCTGCCTTCTGGCCCCACTCCTGTAAGGACCTTCTTTAATGGGCTTGATAGGCCTACTTCCCAGTTTCATTTGGTCCAAGAGGGACTGCTGGCTCCCTCCCTTCTGTCCTAGCTAACTGACGCCAAGCTTCTTTCTAACCCCAAAGCAGGGCAAGGCCCAACCTCCTCAAACCCAGGCAGATACATTGAAGACCCTTACTCCCCAAACTTGGATAATACTTAGATGTGGAGGTGGCCCCTCGCCCCAGTCAGGATGTAGGCTGTGGCCACCCTCTCAACGCTTGGTTCCATGTCCCACCAGAGCAAGGACCAAAGGGAGCCAGGAAAGGATGTGTTCCCAAGACAGACGCAAGCCCAGACCATGAAGGATGCACCCTTGGCTGTTAAAACGTTCACCCCCACAAAAGGGGAGTGGACAGATTTATTGAATTCAGACTGGGAAAGGAGCGGCTGGATGGCTGGACTCTGGGCCCAGCCCCAGGCCCCCTGCCCAGAATAGAGCCCTGCCAGAGAGGGAGGAGAGGCATGAGGCCTGCAGCTACCCACAAGGGAAGTGCCCATTATCACTCCCCTGGAGGGCCTCTTGGGAACCTCCAATCTGGAAAGAAAACCAAGGGCCAAAGTAACCTGGACTGGGCCAGAGAAAGGGATTGGGAAGATGGGGAAGCAGGCAGAGGCAGGCTCAGGAGCCTGCAGTGAGTTAGACTGTGCTTCTCAAGGCGGCCCAGGGGCAGGGGTGGGGGGCTGCCAGCCTTGTGGGGGCCTAGGCTGGGCCTTCCTCTGGAGCCCTTCCCAGAATGGCTTTGGGGTCCCCCCCCACCAAAGACCTGGTGTGGACGGCAGAGGGGAGAGGCACTCTCCGGCCGGGAGCTTCCAGGGCCCATCCCTGGCTGCTCCTGTGGCTTAGTCCACTGATGGCACGGTGTGGTAGCACCGGACAGCTCCCCACCCTCCCCACCTGGTCCCCCAAGCCCAGGGGCAAATGGGGAGGAAAGAGGACTCTGAGAAAGAGGCAATAAGCAGGCAGTGAGGCTGACGCCAGCCGTGGGCCCTACCGAGGTGGCTGGGCCTGTCATAGGGCCCGAGGAACATCACTAAAGGATCTGGAGCTCCCCATTCTGGCTCCATCCACAGCGGCTGCCCAGAGAGTCCTCCGCCCTGGGCTGGTGCTGCCACGTCTGGGTCGGGCATGGCTAGGCCCAGTGGCTCAGCTTGGATGTCCAAGACCCCGAACTCCTGCCTGCCGGGCATGGTTCTTCCTGGTCACGTGGACCAGATCGTGTTCCAAATGAAGGATGTGGCTCTGCACACGGTCATCGATGGGGAAGGAAGTCAGGTACCTCTTGACCATAGCGAAGTAAGCCATGGCCTCCCCAAAGCTGGGCACAGGCACCTCATCGCCATCTTCCTCCTCATCTTCATCATCTTCATCCTCATCGTCCTCATCTTCCTCCTCTTCCTCACTGTCAGACTCAGAGTCCTCTTCACCCTCCAGGAAATGGAGAGTAGGGCACTGGGCCTCCTCCTGGGCACTGTAGCCCCCGAAGCTGCCACCAGCTTCTACTACCCCCTGGGCCCAGTCCTCAGCCTCCAAGCCCTCAGAGGAGCTCTCTTCCTCCTCTTCCTCCTCCTCTTCATCACTGTCATCAACATCACCCTCCTCTTCCACCTCCTCTTCCTCCCCCAACTCCTCTCCTTCCCCCCCTTCCTCCTCCTCTCCTTCTTCCTCCTCCTCCTCCTCCTCCCCTTCACCCTCCTCTTCCTCTTCCTCCTCTTCTTCTTCCTCCTCTTCCTCCTCCTCTTCATCACTGTCATCAACATCACCCTCCTCTTCCACCTCCTCTTCCTCCCCCAACTCCTCTCCTTCCCCCCCTTCCTCCTCCTCTCCTTCTTCCTCCTCCTCCTCCTCCTCCCCTTCACCCTCCTCTTCCTCTTCCTCCTCTTCTTCTTCCTCCTCTTCCTCCTCCTCCTCTTCCTCCCCCTCACTCTTGAGGGCAGTGGTAATGGTGGCATTTGGGCCACCCCCGAAGCCAGCCTCACGAAAGCAGGCAGCTATGTCCGAGGGTTCCACTGCCTGCCAGGCGGCAGCCACGAAGTGCAGGGCCTCCATCAAACCTAGCTGCAGGCCTGAGGGATCCTGGCCCTCTAGTGCGGCCATGGCCTTGAGCAGCATAGCCTGGCGGTAGTGGCCCTTCACCTGTTGGACCACTCCCCGCTCCAGCGGCTGCACGGTGCCCGGGGGGAAGAAGGCCAGCTGTACATGCCGCAGGCCCGAGGTATCCAGGGACTGGGCAGCCAGGCGGCCGGCCAGCAGCAGGACTCGGCGAGACTCTGCAGCCATGCGAGTGTCCAGGGCCTTCAGGTACTTGGCCAGGGCCTGCGTGGTGACACCGCCCTTAGAGTTGGCGGTGTAGTCGCAAGGCAGGCCGGCTTGGCCCGCACGGGGCTTGGCCGACTTGCCGGCCACAAGCGGGGGCAGCTTCTCGCTACCGTCTGCGTTGGCGCACAGCAGGACGCTCAGGCGCTGGGTGGCCCTCCGCGCCCGTCCATCGCTGCCACACAGCCCCGCAGCCTGGTCGGGCAGGAAGTCGTACCACAGACTGGTCTCAATGGCGCTGAACACGTCCTGGGAGGCGTAGCCCTCGGCCACCGACGGCGGCTGCTCCTCCCGCGCGCGCCAGCCCGTCGAACCCCCGCCGCTGCCCTCCGAGGGCACCGCAGGCGGGCTGGCGGGAGTCGCTGGGGGACGGGGAGCAGCACTGCGCGAGCGGGCGCGGGCCACACCGCTGCAGGACACCACACCGTGGCGCCGGCGGAAGCGGTCCAGCCACCCGTTGGAGGCGGTGAAGTCGTCCATGCCCAGCTCCTCGGCGATACGCAGCGCCTTCTCCTTGAGGATGATGCCCTTGACGGGTAGGCCGGCGGCGCGGATCTGCTGGAACCAGGCGATGAGCAGCCCCTCGAGCTTGTCGTAGGGGGACAGCTTGTTGGTCTTGCGGCAGGTGGAGGCCACACCGTACTTGCGCTCCGACGCCAGGATGGCGCGCTTGTTCTTCAGGATGGTGCTCAGCGTGGACGGCGGGATGTTGAA